GGTCAATCTCCCTGGCGCTTCATGACGACCCTACCTGGCGCCAAGGCCTGGCGCCCGCGCTGACGTGGACCAAGATTGTGTGGCGCGCGCACACGGTGAGGACCCCATCCAACAGCCTCAGCCTCCCTCGGTTGGTGCGGCTCGCCGAGCCGATCCTTCGAGCCCCGCCGAAGCATTGGGGCAGCGTGAAAGGTCCGCTAGCCGCAGCCGTGCTGTCCCTGAAACGCATCAAATGGTCTTTCCACACGCCCCTCATCTTCCAGGACGAGTCGGGGAGGCACTGGCCTCTCACAGCCTTCTCCCCAAAGTTCATAGAACTGAAGATGCGGGAGACGTGGCAGAGGGCCCACCTCGCGACGGTGGCAGCTAAGCTCGGCTTAGCCCAGGGGGCACGCGTGGACCTGACGGTTGCGCAACAAGTGCTTCACAGAGGAGGTTTGCAGTGCCAGGAAGCTGGCATGCTCATGTCCTTCTTGTGCCAATCCATTTGGACGGGCGAGAAACTCCAGAGGGCAGGCTACTTGACCGATGCCCGGTGCAGGTGCGGGCATCCTTCGGACAGCTTGTCCCACCGCATCCACCATTGCCCACTGACGGAGGATTTGCGTAAGCAATGGTTGGGGCCGGAGAACGTGGTTATCTTGAGCGACACCCGCCGGAATTTCCCGCTGGCCTGCGGCTTCCAGGAGCACACCGGGTACTCGGTCAACCCCCCGCCTGGGCCGGGCACGCGCCCCTACCAATACTGGTGTTCGAACACGGACTTGGAGCCCGCCGATGCCCTGGAGGGGGAGTTGTTCACGGATGGCTCCTGCCTCAAGGAAGGGCCGCCGGAGTTCCACGTTGCGGGGTGGTCAGTCATCAAGCTGACGGCCACAGGGGAGCTCTTCGCAGCGCTGTGGGGCTCGGTGGGCGAACAGTACCCGCAGACGTCGCCAGCGGCCGAACACGTGGCAGTTTTGGCTGCCACAAAACATTGTCCTAGAGCCACGAGGATCCACTCGGACTTCCTCGGCGTCGTCGAACTCGGGGAAGCCCCGTGGTCCCAGGTGGTGTCAAGACACCACATCTACGCGGGCATGCGCGTTCAGATAAGGAGTTCGCCCACATGGACGCGTGGCCTCTCCATTCACAAGGTTGCGGCCCACGTGGATCCAGACGGCCTCGAATTGTTTTCGAGGGAGTGGTTCTTGGCTAAGGGCAACGACTATGCTGACAGATTCGCCAAGCGTGGTGCCGCACTACTGGCACAACCATCCCAGGCTGAGAAACAGGATTATCAAGCTGATTCGGTCACGTTGCGTAGGTACCTCAAGTACATTTCCCAGGCGCTCCTGTTATACCCGCGGCAGGCGCCCACCAAGCAGCATCGCTCTGTATTTCAGAAAACACGGCGCGAGGCGGACTTCAGGTCGGGCGCAAGGTCGGCCAGGGACGCCCTGCCGGTGCCGCCCGCAGAAGCCCCAGCCGCTGTGGCAGCCCCAGGGGCTAGGCTGCAGGCACGAGGGGCGCGTGCGGGCCCCCTGCTACCGCCACCCCCGCCGCTGGTGGCCGCAGGAGCCACATCAGGAGGCGTGCTGCGGCCGGCGTCCTCCGTCACGCAGGCGCCGGCCCCTGAGATAGAGGGCCGCGCGAGGGCCCACCAGTGGAAATTTGTGAGGCCAGGTCTATGGTCCTGCCGAGTGTGCTACAGGAGAAGCTGGTCAGTGTCGCCTTCACAGTCAGCGAGGTGCGTAGGATATAATGCTGCATTCAGCGCCATAGCAGCAGAACCGCGCAATCATAGAGTATACATAGCCTGCCACGGCGACGATAATCTTATTTTTGTCTGCAGCTCTTGCGGGTCCATCTGCCAAGGTCGGAAATCGGTTGGGCTTTCGCGCAACTGCAAAGGTAGGTACACGAGCGATCACAACAGGAGCAATTGGACCAGGATGTTCCAGCGGAAGCATCCAGACCCTTCCAAAGGAGAGGCCCGGGTGCTTGACGAGCTATTGCCGCTCTCGAGTCTATTCTAATCAGGGTTGTCGCGGACTTGCCGTCGCAACCTCAGTTTTGTGTAGTATCCCTGACAGCCCAGAGGGCGCTGTTCATGCCTGGCGCCGCCCATGGGGTAAGGAAAAGTAGCATCTGCAGTAGTCTAGCATAGTGCAGGAATATACCCCTTTTGAAAAACCTGCATTATATTGCCCCGGACCTTACAGGGGTAGTGGAAAAGTGTGTTTTAAAAACGCGTAATGCTCGCCGATCTGCCGGAGAGCCTGAAAAGCCCAGTGCTTATGAGGACCCCCTGTCGGTTCCCCCATTGTCCGTTTCAGCTTTGCGCCACCCACAATCCCACTTAGTGGGATAGCGTCGTTGGCCATCATAAGCCCTCATGCGTTGCCTGTTGCCTAATGCATGCTGGGACCTTGTCCCCTCGTGCGTTGCATGCTGATGCCGGGGCGTTCGCCCCTCAAGAGCACCCAATTCAGTGGTGGTGGCATCCAGGCCCCCCGCCCTAATCGAGGGGGCCCTGGCTGTCATTCAGGGGCGCCACTGGGCCATGCACACCCCGACCCCCCCGCTGACAATCGGGAGTCCGAAGCACTTCTTGAGCTGCGCGACCGCATCCCTGTCTATTCGTGCCTGGCCCCCGTGTCTTAGTGGACCTCTGCCCCCGCAAGTTCACTTCCCTTCGGGATGCCACCCCCTAGGAGCCCAGATCCGGGGATCGCTAAGAAGGGCTGCGGGGTGAGGAGGGAGGGTAAGGAGGACCACCAGTCGGACCAGTAGGATTTCTGCCTGCAGGAGATTGTGTGTTCGGCCCCTGCGCCTTTGCTGGCTTTGTCAGGTCCGTGGATCCGTACCCTCCCCAGTTTTGGGTCTTGATTTGGGCCCCCCCTGTTCGCTCAGCCCTACCCCGAGGGTCCGGCGAATGGGGAACCCATTCTTGCACCCAACTGTCAGTCCGTGCTAATCCTCCTCCTTCTCCTCCTCCTCCTCCTCCCCCTCCTCCTCCTCCCCCTCCTCCTCCGCATGCCCTTTGGGGGATGGGCCCCGAGCGGACTGGGGCGGCGGCCGCTGCGCAGACGCCTTGACCCGGGGCACCCCTGCCCCGAGGAGGAGGAGGAGGAGGAGGAGGAGGAGGAGGCGGAGGAGGAGGAGGAGGAGGAGGAGGGGGGCCGTGAAGGGTGGGGGGAGGGGGGGGGGGGCGGGGCGAGCTGGCGGCTCGACCAGGATGCGGGGAGGCCGGGCAAGGGGGCGGGCACGGCCGAGGAACTGGGGCCCTTCGGGAGCACCGGCGAGGAAGTTGCGCAAAGGGGAGGGGGGCGGGCTCGAATTGAAACTGCCCCTTCGCGAGTGCCAGAGACATGAGTACAGGCGTCGCCCAACATGATGTCATGACCCCCGGGAAGGCAAGACGAGTGACAAACAAAACGTGGCAAAAGACCGCAAAGATGTACAGGACAGGTCCACGGATGAACGGGAGGACACGAAGTTTCGAGGCACACGGTTTGGGAACGCTTTCGCTGGTTCTCAGCGCCGCGGCTTTCCAGCCAAGGGGTGCCTTCCAGCGGCTGCGCCTGGCTGCGAGCGTTCCAAGGGGACCCGAATCGTCACGAACGGCCAGCGGAGAGGCAAGTTATGGCGTTATGAGGGGCAGCGTCAAAAGAGGACCCACCAACGGAAAACACAAAACATAAACTTTCGGTGGTCTGCGCCGGTGCATTGAATCCGCGGGGCCTCCGAAAGTTGGTGCTTATGCCGTGTTTCCTTCGACGACATCGTTCAACACCCCCCAGGAAACCCCCGCGTGGGCGCCGAGACGCGCCGCGCGCACCGAGGGAGAGGCAGCAACTCGGGGGGGACCAGCTGAAGGGGGAAGGCATCGCGATGGAATTGGCGATCCACCGCCAATAGATCGGCACCAGATAGCTGATAGTCGGGGGCGGCAAAGAGGGGGGTGTCCAAGAGGGGGGGGTGCAAATCATGACCGGCGGCATGTGCGCGGACCAGCGGGGGAGCCAGGGACGTAATGAAACAAGAAAAGGCGCCATGAGATCTGGGGAGATATCATGGCCCCCGCCATGAGATCCACCCCCCCCTAGTCATCACCCCCCTCTTTTCCGCCCCTGAGATAGTAGAACCCGCACTTCCAGTTCGCGGGGTGGGCCTTGGGCTTCCCATCGGCGATCACCGGGCGATCTGCCCCAGAGCAGATCCCCCCAAGGCGATCCTTGTCGCCCCCCTCGCAAGATCACAGTACAGCCCTGGTCGCCTCTCGGCGAGGAGCAGAGACGCTGGAACGGGCGCTCCGAGGCCGGAAGGCCGCCGAGGACTGACGCAAAAGCCCCAGCAAACCGACGCGCGCGAAACCGAACGCCCGCGCCCGAACCCTCGGAACTCCAACGACGAGAGAGACCTCCACACCGAAGTGAGAGAGGGGGGGGGAGGGCCGATCGGACAGGACAAGCGGCGCAGCACAGGAGGGAGAGGGGGGAGGAAACTCCTCCTCCTCCTCCTCCTCCTCCTCCTCCTCCTCCTCCTCCTCCTCCTCCTCCTCGTCCTCCCTCTGCACCCGAACCCGAACGTCCGCACCCGAACCCGACCGCACCCGAAGGCGCATCCGCGCAGGAGAGCTAGCGGCCGCTGCCGCAGCGACCAGCCCGCCGCGGCACGGCACGCGGCGACGCCGCCGCGGGTGGCGCTGGCTGCTCCTGGTCCAACCTCCTCCCTCCTGCCCCCTCCGTTCTCCCTCCTGAACCTCATCCTCCTCCTGATCCTCCTCCTCCCTCTCATCCTCGTCCTCGTCCTCCTCCCTCCTCCTCCTCCTCCTCCTCCTCCTCCTCCTCCTCCTCCTCCTCCTCCTCCTCCTCCTCCTCCTCCTCCTCCCTCCCTTTCTCCCTCCCTCCTTCCTGGCCGTCCCCCGCCGCTGACACTGCCCCTGACCGAGCCCAATTCTGTCGTGAGGCACCGCCGCGAGGCCAGGCGAGAGGACACAGCCGGGGAGGGGTGGCCTGCTCCTCCGTGCGGAAGGTGACGAAGCACACGCCCTTGGACGAGCCGTCCTCGTTGCGGAGGACCTCGGCGAGGAGGGCCGACGGCGCGATTGACTCCTCCTTCCTCCCGCCCTCCCTCTCCCGTCCTCCCTCCCTCCCTCTTTCCTTCCGTCCCTCCCTCTCCGCCACCCCCTTTTCGTTATGTCATCCTCCTTCTCCTCCTCCTCCTCCTCCTCCTCCAGCCCCTCTGGTTCTGGCCTGTTTGGAAGGACTGGGGGCGCCTCACACCGAGGCAGAGTTGATGCAGGTCGTCCTCCCGCAGGACCTGCGCGAGCCGCCATGGCGCCAGCGTTGAGATCGACTCTCCGCCTCCTGGCGTTCAACCCGCTCCACGCTGTGGGGGACCAGGCTCTCGGAGCTGCTGATCGGCTGCCGCGCCGCGGACGCCCTCCTCCTCGCGGGCACCAAGGTGCACTGCCACTCTGGAGGAGAGGGAAGTCCTCCGTCGTCGGTGTGAAGGTCGACTTGTGCTGGAGGCGCCGTACACTGAGGGGGCGCACACGAACCACAGCGCGGGCTGCGCCATCGCCCTGGGGGAGCGGCTCCGCGACTCCCACGTTGTCCGTACATGGGGATCGCCTCCAGGAGCAGGAGGACGGGCCCTAGCGGCTCGGATTCGCAAGGGCTGCCTTGACATCTTGGTGGGGGTGATCTACTTCCCGCCGCAACCGAGGGAGCGCATCCAGGTCAGCCGCTACCTACACACGGCGAAGCTGCTGCGAGACTGGTGGCAGCAGATACTCCAGGAGGCGCCTACGAGGAAGCTTCCAATTTTTTACGCCGACCTGCCAGAAGCAGGTTGGGGGATGGACTACACAGCCGTCCCAGGCCCTTGGACATCTTCGCAGTCGAGAGCAGCGACGAGGAGGTGCGGGAGAGTTGGTGAGGGGCCTGTTGGATACCCAGCATATGGCCGCCCCGTCCACCTTCGCAGACAAAGTTGAGTACACCTTCTATACGACCAGGACACCGCCCTCGGGCTCGGTCATCGATCACTTCTTCATCCCACTGGGCTGGCTTCCCCGTGTGCTGCGCTGCCATGTTCTGCACGGCCTGGGAGCGCAGTGGCAAGTGCTACCAGGGGCGCCTCCGGGGGGCCACCTCCCCCTCTTGCTCGAGCTTCAGTACGAAAAGGATGCCTGGGCCTTGCCGCCCATGCCCCCGCAGCGCCTTGACTGCACGGGGTTGATGCAGGCGGTCCGCCGCGGGAAGGGGAAAAAGGAGTTCTTGGAGGATGTGCTGAGGCGGATTGGGGAAAGAAGTGAATATATCGACGTATGTATGATGGGGGGTACGCCCGACGCTGCTTGGGAGGAGCTGGAGAGCATCCTCACGGCGGCGGGCGCCGCGCACTTCGGGGGGCCACATGGGGGAGAGGCGCGCAGCCAACGATGTGCTAGACGGCGCGAGCTCCTCCAGGAACGCCCCCGACTTCGACGGGAACGACTAGACGCAGATGAGGACCGACTTCGGGAGCTGGAGACTGAGCTCAAGACGCTCTCGGCTGAGCTGAAGCTGGAGCACCGTGCCCGCAGGATCGCAGAGAGGAACCAGCTCCAGGAGGAGGTACGGGAGGCCTGGGAGAAGAGGGACACGGCCGAGGCGATGCGTCTCTCACGACTACTTGGACACTGTCGACTGGGCGCGAAGCGACGAGACGGACGCCGCCTTGGCCCCCCCCCCGCTGCCACGGTCGGACTGGGTCGAGGCGTGGGGGAGGCCTGGCGCCCAGGGAGGTATGAGGGCACACGAAGTCGACTGGAGTGAGTGGCGCGCAAGCAGAACTGGCACCCCCCCCCGCCCCACCTGCCGACCCCATGGACATTGGTTACGCACAGGATGACTTCAAGGAGCTGAGGCGCTACGTTCGGCGCGCCAAGAAGAGGCGCACAGTTCCAACTGGCACGGCGGCGCTCGAGCTTTGGGACCTCTGCCTCTGGCCTGACAGGGCCATGGACCAGCTGCCCCACGGCGTGGGCTTCGAGAGGACGGCGCAGGGGATGCAGTTGTTCGACGAGACCCTCCTGCGAGCGCTGACGCTGATCAGGCGCACGGAAAAGACTCCCCTGCACTGGCACCGCAGCATGGGCATCGGACTCGCCAAGAACGACAAGCCTGGTATGAAGGGAAGGAGAGTTATTCACTCCCTTCCCGCTGTGGGAAAGGGATACTTCGCGTACAAGCTCAAAGCGCAGCTGGCCCCACAGGATCACGGATTCGCACCCCACCGACGTAGGGAGGGAGCTCTGCTGGCGACCCAGGTTCTGGCGTTGCGCCTGAGGCAGTCGGGCTGGTCGTGGGTGGCAACGCTCAAGGACATGGCGAACGCCTTCGGCAGCGCGTCCTGGGAAGGGTTCGACGAGGTCATCCTTGACGAGGGCCTGGTGGAGCCGCAGAACCAGACGCTCTGCCGTGACAGGCGCCGCCTGTCGGTCGTGGAGGTGGACACGAGCGACGGGGCCCTCTTCTTGAAGACGGGCGAGGGCGGCCTCATGGGGGACCCGTTCGTGGTGCAGGCGTTCGCGGCGGCCTTTGTCGCCCCCGTTGACAAGTGGCCCCAACGACTGTCGATGGTGGGGATCACGGGACCGCTGCGCGGGGGCTTCGAGGACTTCACCATGGACGTCTCGTTGGCCAAGTACGCCGATGACCTGTATCGCGTCATACCCTTGGAGGTCGGTTGTGAAATGGACGAGGCCCTCACAGGATGAAGAGCAGCGATGACATCCTGGACGAGTGCCTTACGCAATATGGGATGGCGCAGAATCGAGACAAGCAGGTGGCGTGTTTCTCGATCCAGGGGACGGGCTCGCAGCAGTGCAAGCGGTGGCTACAGCATGCCATCGCACGGGGACGAGTCGACGGACGAGTCGAAGAGGCGACGAGGTACCTGGGGCCGATCGTCACGCAGGACGCCTCAGCTGCCATCGAGGCGGAGCGTAGGATGGCGGCTGCCCGAGCCGCCTTCTATGCCATGGCAGGTTTCTGGTCTGCCAGCGCGCCGCGACGCTGGCGGCGCACGGTACTGATCGGTTTAGTGCAGAACACCCTCCTGTCGGCGCTTGAGCTTTTTTTACTCAGCCCCCGTCAACGCGCTCTCCTGGATCACTGTCTCGCCTCCCTCTGTAAGATTGCTATGCACGGTGCCGCATGTGAACGCAACGAACAGGGGGAGGTCACTGCCCGCATGTGTTATCAAGAGATCTTGGCTTCCTGGCAATTAGTGCAGTGCGAAATGGAGCTCCGAATCCGTAGGTTAAGCTGGTATCAATCTTGGGCCTCTCGGACTCGGGTGCACGCGCACGTTTTAGCAATGCTCTTTGGGGCCCTTGATTTTGAACCTGCGGAAAAGCGGCCGTGTACAGAGGATGGCCTTAGTCAGTTTGCGAGTCCCTGGGCCAAACGCATCCAGGACGACGTTCGAGCCGCGATCGATGTCATGCCCGACGACAGGGATGTGCTTTTGCGTGTCGCGGACCGTCCCTGGTTCCTTATCGAGGATAAAGAATTATATGAGGAGTTCGTTCGCCTGGATTTCAGACGTCTGCGTAGTCACCATTTCACGGTCACAATTGCGCCCCCTGGCCCATTTTGCGGTGTCTCTGACCCTGGGGCCCCGGGCGGGCTCGGCCCCCTCCCCGACCTTGTTGCCCCGTACGTGTGTTCCTGGCCGAAAGGGGAGGGGACGCAATGTGGCGATTCTTTCTGCACGAAGCGGGGGCTCACAGAGCACTTGAGGCACAAGCGCGGTGTGTATAATTTAGCTGCTCTGCTTTGCCCGTCCAACGAATGTATTGTGTGTAGGAAAATTTTCTGGAGTAGGCAAACGGCCTATCGACACCTTGAGGGTTCGATATTTAGGGGGCACTGCGGAACGAGAGGGCCGAGTGCGATTGCGACCAGAGTTGAACCGAGGGATCTTGGGTGCCGCATTTGCTCGTACGAGTCGGCTGACTACGACGACCTCTGTAGCCATCTTCGGGCTCATCGTCCCTGGTCGGTTTCTTCGGGGGCGTGTTTCCTCGCGCGGCAGCGACTTCGCCATGACCTCGGACGTGGCGATGCCCTCTTGGATGGTGAGGGCGGCCTCGCCCCCTGCATCGGCGCCGCGCCCGAAGCGGGGCAAGGCAGGCAACCACAAGGAGAAGGCCGACCAGCTGCTGGTCATCATCGCGAAGCTGGCCCTCACCACGGCCCGACAGGCGGCGCAGCTCGAGAGCGTGTGCTACACCACGATGTTCATCAGCGAGGCCGAGGGCAGCCTCGGGCAGGTGTGCCGCAAGAGCGGCATCGACTACGACGGCGAGAGCAAGAGGCTCCGCGAGATGGTCGCGGGCGGGGAGTCGGTCGACTTCAAGGCCCGCGGGCCGCCTCACGTCCACCTCTTCGGCGCCATCATCAAGCGCAGCATGGAGATCTCGGCGCCCGGGGGGAGGGACTCCGAACGCAGACGGGCACAATATCTTCCTCGAGTACTGGCAGCAGGTCATCGCCGCCAAGAAGCCACAGGAGATCGCGGAGCAGGTCCTCCACTGCAAGTATCGCAAGGCGAGGGCCACGGGCGAGGAAGCCAAGGGCGTCCTTTCTTTCGTGCTGAACTCGAGGGTGCCGTCCGCCAACTCCCTGTACCCGATCCTGGTGGACTACCTCGTGAAAGTGGAGAAGACGGAGGCGGTGCACGGCCCAGCTCCGAGGGGCCCCTTGGAGCGAGAGGCAGGCAGTTTGCTCCAGGCTCTCAATCAGTTCTAATGGCCAGCAGTGAGAGGCTGGCAGCCTTGATTGCAAAGGGTATTGTCAGCCCTGCAGTTTTGTCCTCGACGAGAGTGGCGACGGTGTATGCTTCACCGCTCATGCCCTCGTCCGCCGTGCAAGTGCTGAGTCCGACCCGCCGAGAACGCAGAGGGAAAGGAGCGGGTGGCGGGAGGGACGCTGCTTCGAGCCAGTCTCTGCCCGCCGCCCCTGCACCCAATTTTTTAAGGCGTGCCTCGGGTTGTGCACACCGACCCCCTGCACGGGAGGTTCACTCCTCGAGGGAAGTAGGGGCGGCGCTCAACAGCAATAGAAGCACTCACGGGGATCGGCTCGAGGATGGGACGGGTGGGACGTTGGAGGGTGGGGGGTCGGGAGTGACGGATCCGCGAGCTGGTCCCCGTGAGGGGGGCACCCGCCAGGCTGCGCGCCATTCGGCGGGCCGCTCCCTGGGGCCGTGCGGGCGGAGCCCGACTGGCCATGGTGGCCACCAAGGTTGACTAGTCCTCATTTCGATTGTCGCGAAGCGACGCCCAGGTGCGAGGCTGATTCGAGACTTCCGTCTGACCGCACCCAAGGGTTCCGAGCCGAGCCGAGCCTCCTCCTCCTCCTCCTCCTCCTCCTCCTCCTCCTCCTCCTCTTCCTCCTCCTCCTCCTCGTCCATCTCCTCTTCCTCCTCCTCCTCCTCCTCCTCCTCCTCCTCTTCCCTCTCCTCTTCCTCCTCCTCCTCCTCCTCGCGCACTGCGGGCAAAGCGGTCCTTATCCTATCCACCGGAGCCCGCGCCGCGCGCGCGCGCGCCGCTCCTCTCCCTCCTCCTCCTCCTCCTCCTCCTCCTCCTCCTCCTCCTCCTCCTCCCCTCCTCCTCCTCCCTTCCTCCTCCTCCTCCTCCTCCTCCTCCTCCTCTTCCTCCTCCTCCTCCATCTCCTCCTCCTCCTCCTCCTCGGGCCCAATTGCTGTCGGCCTCCCGCCCCTCTGCCACGACCTGCTCCCCCGAGCCCGCACCGCCCTGCTGCCCCGCCGCCGCCCGAGGGGCGAGGACGGGAGTGCCTTCATCCGATCCACTTCGCCCACGTCCTCGAAGATCGCCTGGATCTCGTCCTCCGGAACGCCACGGTGGAGGCCACGGGGGCGAGCGTTAAGTCGGGCCTGTCCCCCTACAGGGGAATTTTGGATGAAAAATCCAGAATACTCCAAAAATACCCCCCAAATGGGAAAATGTAATCAAAAATTCGTCGACCCCCGACTATATTTTTACTATTTTTGAATGTTCCCCCCGTAGGGGGACAGGCCCGACTCAAGGCAAGCGGGCGGGGCTCCCCGAGCCTTCAAAGGAGGGGGAGACCCCGTGGCTCCAGAGCACGCGTGCCGTCACCGCAACGCAGGTCTCTGAACATGCAGTGTGCAGTTGACAGTGCCGCTGCTTGCGCTGTTCCTGTCGCCACCACCTCGAACGATGGCCCGTCCCGTGCAGATCGCAGCAAATAGAACTGGGAGAAGCAACGAACTTCGCCAATTGATCGAACCAAATGCCGGCATCCTGAGGAGCCGGGCGGGTGCACTTCCTGGCAAGCTTTGGCACGAACCTTTACGAACACACACACACACACATACACACACTCTTAAGATCCCTCGGCGCAGGAGCAAATATTCACCCACACAGACGAGCAATACGGAGCCAGTATTACAATATATGATGTTTGGAGTCCCAAAACAAAGCGGGGACAAAGAACATGGCGACCTTTAAATCCCAAGAGACCTCACCGCACGGTCTGTCACCGCACGGTTTTGGAAACCTGGAGGCCCCCATTGCCCGAGACATCCTCGGAGAACGACCCGAGTCCCCAAACCGTGCGGTCACCCTCAAACCCCACCGACTGACCACATGGGGTGGTCACCACACCATTCGGGGGCCCCCGAGAGTCTACGTCCCTCGTTTTTCGACCACCGAAGGACTTGCCAGAGTACATTCATCATTAGCGCGCCCAAGGCCACATGTTCAGGGAACGACTGCAACCTCTGGCGCTGTGCGTGGCCCCAGGTCGGCCCCAGAACCCCTTCAAGGCAGCTGAGAGGTACAGCAAATCCGGCCCACGATGGCCTAAAGACTACTCCGAGGCCCGAAGATGTCCCCAAGAGGCTCTCAAGACCTCGGAGGACCCAAGAAGTCACCAACATGTGAGCGACAATTAGTTGGTTGACCCAAAAAGGGGGTCCAGCTGAACGGGGGTAGTGTACTAGATTTCGGGCCATTGTATTGCAAATGCACTGCGCTGGAGAAGTGTATTGCATAGTACTGCATGTAGTGTATCACACGCGAAAATCCAGCGATACGTTTGCGCCCCGGAATGCATTGCACGCCCCAAGCGTATGGCAACCCCACGAATCCATCGCTCCAGATCTCTTGCACCAGCCCCTTGTCGCTGGAGCCCCTTATGGGTCAACCCGCAGCTGGACGCTGGACTCAGCTCTCCTCTTCTAGGGGAACAAAGAGTGGCATAAAACATAACAACTCGGAGGTCCGCGCGGATGACTCGGATCGGCGCTGGACCCCCCTCCCTGGCGCGCGGAGCGCGCCAGGGGCGGCGCCGGAGGCGCCGCCAGGAGGGTCCAGCGCGGATCCGAGAAATCTGCGCGGATCTCGGAGATTTTATGTTCATGCCACTTTTTTGACTGCCTACCAGACCACCCCAACCCAACCCGAAGACCCGGATTTCGGGTTGGGGGGGTATGGGTTCCATGCGTGTTTTTTCCACGTTCCCCGACCCCCCCCCAACTGGAAATGGAGGGCAAATTGAGGCCTTCGGGTTGGGTTGGGGTGGTTTGGTGAGTGGTGACTTTTGTTCCCCTATCTTCTCGGGTGTGCGCAGCGCGCACGACGGCGCAGCCTCTGGGTGCCGACGGTGGGTCTGGACCACCGTAACGCGGGGGCGGCCCCCCCCCCGGGGGGGGGGGAGGGCGGCCTCGGCCGTCGCGGGCCCCCGGAAGCCACGGGGGGCGTCGCTCTGCCAATGTATGTGGATGCTGTCTTTGAAGGGAAACTGGGACACACAAATAAATACACACAAATAAAAAGATTCCCCATATTTTCCTATATTTTTCTGTGTTTTTGTCGTCCCCACCACTTCCCATATTTTCCCATATTTTCTGGGAAATCGACGATTAATTGTGTCTGTGTTTTTTCCCCTCCTGAATCATCAAAGATGCGCAGGAAAGGATGCAAGGGCTTAAGCGGCCGCGATCACGTTGTGTCGCACGACGTCGGCCGGCGGACGTCGTCGAGGATGGGGGCCGCAGGAGCAAGGATGCAAGGGTATACCCGTGGGAAGGTTGCCCATCCTTGCTATGCAGGTGGAATGTACTGTCTTTGGCGCCGTTTTCTTGACGTCTGGCGCCGCTGTGTTTCCGCGTTCGTTTGCCCAGGCGGGGGCCCGGTCTGGATCGCCGATTGTTTGGCCCAATCCGAACCGTTTTCGAACAGATTCCGGACGTCCTTCGGATCCCCGGGCTGCCCAGGCCGTTTCGCTGAACCGTTTCTTGACCGCTTCGGTGGACGCTTGCGTTGCAGCTCATGCTCAGGAGGCGGGTTTTAGAAAGCGGCCGGAAAACTGCCCTGCCGCTTCCAGGGCCAACTGAGGTCTCTGTCACAAGGGAACAGAAGGATACGGGCACCGCTGCTCATCCGACCTCTCCTACAGGTGCGTTCTGGCAAGGAGTTCGAGGCGAGCACCGCCGTGGCCACGAGGGCCCCTCCAAGGCTCGAGAGAGGTGAAAGCGAGGGAGGACGATCTTGGTGTGCGTTTTCTTCCCTGGGCTCCTCCTCCAACTCCCCCACGTTGGCCACGAACACCTGCTTCGGGTTGGGCTCCCGCGGTGCATTGGGGTCCTTGCCCTTGCCCTTGTCGTCCTTGCCCTTGCCTGGGCAGGGATGCGCCGGGATACGGTTGATTACACTTGCTCGGAGGCGCGCTACCACAAAATACTGCCATCGTGAATAGGGCGAACTGTAGTGTTAGGTCGGGCCTGTCCCCCTACAGGTGGATTTTCGACGAAAAATCAAACATACCCCAACAATATCCCAAAATGGTCAACAAATACTGAAAACAATCGTCCCCAGGGTATTTTTCTATAATGTTATTGTATATCCCTCCTGTAGAGGGACAGGCCCGGTTTAACTTTAGTGTCTTGAGGATGCTTCCAGTGGGATCCCGCTGCGGCGGCGAATACCCCTGGCAGCGACGAGTCATCCAGAGCGGAGGTGCTCTCGCGAAGGCCCGCTCACCCGAAAGCCGCCCCGCTGCCCTGCGCCCTTTTGTCCACCGCTCGCCCCTCCCACGAGATGGCACTAGGGGGCCACATGCGGACCCTACCCCTACCCCCCCCACGAGTTCTGAGGGGGAGGGTGGGGTTCACCTCGCTCGGGAGCTCCCAGACGAGGTGAACCCCACTCTCTCCCTCAGAAATCGTGGGGGGAAGGGGTACTCCAGATTTCGTAATAAAGGGAGGGGGGTCTCATTTCGGGGGGGGGGGGTCTCTTCCAGGCTCTCTTGGAGGGCCTGGGGGGTCTGGGGACGATGTTTTGGAGGGTTCTCCCACGGGGGAGGTCTTGGCTTGTCTTGGAGGGTCCAGACCCCCTCCCTTTTATTACGAAATCTGGAGTAGGGTTCGCATGTGGCCCCCTAGGCACGAGTACGAGACACCATGGAGAGGGCATCAGTCCACCGACGAGCAGAAGACCACGTGACCACGCGCACCCCAGCGCAGAGGGGAAAGAAGCACGCGCGCCCCATGGGCACGCAAAAGGCCATCGGGAAATGATGGCGACGCACCGGAGGCCCTGGGGGGGCTGTCCCCTTTCGCCGCCGCCTGCCCAGGAATTTCTGCGAATGTAGTGATCACGAGTGCAGCCGCAGCGCACCGAGGGAGGAGGAATACGAGAGGTTAGGACGGCAAGGACGCAGAACATCCAGTGCACCTGCGCGCGACGGCACCTGCGCTGCCAGCCTAGGGCGTGCTCGTGTCGTGGCAACCCCGGCGCTGCCTTCTGACTCCGCGTGCACCGCTCCACCTCGCACGATCGGCGGCGGTCCGACCGCCTCGTCGCTCCACATCGGCCTGCTCTGGGCCGCCGCCGGGGAGCGACCCGGAACGCCCGCGGCGGTGTCCAAAAGCACGCATCTGCAACACACGTCTGGAACATACACACCCGTGGGCACCAGCCTCCTCCTCCTCCTCCTCCTCCTCCTCCTCCTCCTCCTCCTCTTCCTCCTCCTCCTCCTCCTCCTCCTCCTCCTCCTCCTCCTCCTCCTCCTCCTCCTCCGCCGAGAGGCGGCCCGTCGTGGAGGCCTGGCCCCAGACTATCGGCGTGGCTCGCGGGGTCGGCCCTGCTGCCGCTCCGCGCGAGGACCGCAGGGGCCTTCATGCGGTCCGCCCGCACCGCCCTGCTGCCTCTCGCCACCGCCCGTGGTGCCGAGGGGCAACGATAGGGCGACGAGATCTATACATATCCACTGCTCCTGGCCAGGCCCATCCTGGGCCCAGGAGCGGTGTATATGCCTCCCTGGCCAAGCCAGGAGGGCGTATACACAGCTCTTGGGCCCAGGATTGGCCTGGCCGGGAGCAGTGGATATGTATAGATATCGTCGCCCTAAACGACAGGGGACAGGGGGGGGGGCTGGCACAGGGGGGCATGCATCGACCTGGAAGCGGCGACATCGCCGATAGATCGGCGGATCGGCCCCCGACAGTGGATCCGCACCCTCCTGGGCAGGCTGGTGCCATCGGGCCCCCATCGGCGATCCATGGGCGAGGGGGGGTCGATGCATCCCACTCTGTGCCTAGCCCCCCCTCTCGTTGCCCCCGACCTCGCTCCCGCATCGGGGCGGAGGGGAGCGGCGAAGGCGGCGGCTTCGCCCAGCAGCTGCACGCGCGCCTCGCGGGCCGCTCGGGGCGCGGCGTCGTGCGGAGGGCCCGCCCCGGCCCACGATGCCCTGGCCATCCCCTGCGCGCTCTGGCCATCGGGGCGGCGGTGGGCGGGCGGCGAAGCCGGCGGCTCCGCCCGGCAGAACGCACTGCCACCCCCCACCACGGAGCAGCCCGCTCGATCCGAGGAGGAGCGAGGCAGCACGGGCGCGGCGACGGGCATATGGGCGGCGGGCGCGGTGGTGGGGCCAGCGGAAGAGGGCACGGCAGAAGCATCAACTTTGGGGGCGCTCCGAGCGGACTTCTCGGACCTGCGCTGTACAACCCCTCCCTGGCGCGCGGAGCGCGCCAGGGGGCGGCACCGGAGGCGCCGCGGGGGGGGGCCCAGCGCGGATCCCAAAAATCCGCGCGGAGCGCAAAAGGCTTATGTTTTATGGCGCTTTCTCTTCTTCGAAGGATGCATGCACGGAGGGGAACTGGGACACACAAACAAATACACACAAATAAAAGGATCCCCAATATTTTCCAATATTTTCTGGGTTTTGTCTTCCCCCCCACTGTCCATATTTATCACATTTTCGGGGGAATCGACGATTATTTGTGTCTGTGTGTTGTTTCCCCTCCTGAATGCACCTGGGGCAGGCTCGTGCCGTGACGGCATGCGCGCTGGCTCTCGGCACGTGCGCGGATATCGTTGCGCCGCGCGCGATCGCAGCTCTCCAATGGCCCACACACGCTTCGACATCGGCCAGTTCCAAGCTACCGGTGGCGCTCATCATGGTGGGCCTTGTTGGTGGGGTTGCCGGAGGGGGAGGCCTCTACCGGGGACGGCCAGGACCACCACCATAAGTTGGAGGGGGAAGAAGGTGGATGATGAGGAGGAGGAGAAGGAGGAGGAGGAGGAGGAGGAGGAGGGGGAGGAGGTGGAGGAGGAGGAGGAGGAGGAAGGGGAGGAGGAGGAGGTGGAGGAGGAGGAGGAGCAGGAGAGGGAGGATCCCCTCCCCTCCTCCTTATGGTCGGGGCAGTGGAAAACAAGCCCACCAGCTCCGCCTGGAACGCCCTTGCTTGGGCCACCGTCGCGTCGCTGCGGCACTGACCTGCCGCAAGCCACCTGCCGTGAGCGCTCCGCGCTTCACGGAGCGGTTCGACATCGGACGGCTGCGGGGCCACCGGTGGCGCTCAGCCTGGAACGCCCTGGCTGAAGCTATGCCAGGCGTGTCCCCCTACAGGGGGATTTTCGACGAAAAATAACAAATACCCCCCAAAAATGCCCCAAGAAGGTCAAAACATGCTCAGAAAAGGCTCAAACCATTTTCGCCGAGGATCCCCTTGCAGTGCAGGGGGACATGCCCGACCTAAAGCTGGGGCCGCCGTCGCGTCGCCGCGGCACTGACCTGACGCAGGTCCCCCCTGCCTCGAGAGCGCTCCGCGCCTCGCGGAGCGCGACGCCTGGCCGGGCAGGGCAGGCAGGCAGGCGGGCACCCACGAGCGGGCAGAGCGCAGCGCCAGGGCGCAGGGCCGCCGCCGCGGTCTCCGAGGAGCTGCAGCCTCTTCGGCTCGGGGCCGTGGCGCGCGGTCGTGGCCGCGGCCCCGCGCCGTGGCCGGGGTGCGCGGCGCCAGCTCCACCACTCCGGGGAGTGCCGGCGGCGGTCCTGGCTCCTACAGGTGCGTGCGCCCCCAGCTCCTCGCGCCAGCTTGGGGCCACTGGGGCCCTCTGGGCACCGTGGGGAGTGCTCTGGAGGCCACCTGGGCCTCTCGGAGTCCTGGGGCCACCTCGGGCCAGGAAGCCGCGCGGCACCACGAGAGGAATCATGATACGGAGAGGGGCCAGAACACACAGCGACATTCATCAGCACGACTCTGAGGGGGGAGGAGTGGGGGGGTCCGGGGGGGGGGTGGGGGCTGGCGGGGGTTCGGGGGCGGTGGCGGGGGGGGGGGGGGGGGGGGGCACGGCCCCTGCCGGAGAGATAACACCAGAACCGTATATCTACAACCACGGTGGGCATGATAAACGAACATTGATATGAACTGACAACTCGCAAATCGCACGTAAGGGCTCAAACCCACACATCACTGAGCGCGTGGTAATGGATCGAGAGCGAGAGAGAGAATTGGGGCAAAATAAGAGAGAGAGAGAGAGAGAGAGACAGACAGACAGACAGACAGACAGACAGACAGACAGACCGACAGACAGACAGACAGACAGACAGACAGACAGACAGACAGACAGACAGACAGACAGACAGACAGACAGGCAGGCAGGCAGGCAGGCAGGCAAGCAGGCAGACAGGCAGGCAGGCAGGCACAGACAGACAGACAGACCAGGTAATGCATCTAGCCACTGACGAGGGATGGAAAAGAGGAACTGAGAGCGGGAGAGAAAGATAAGCACAAGCAAGAGAACTCGAGGGAGAGAGAGAGAGAGAGAGAGAAAAAAAAATATACATATATGTATAGAGAGAGAGGAAAGAGAGGGGTGCGTGTATGCAATAGTAGGTGAGCACAGAGAGAGATAGGGGAAACCATATCCAACATCATCAGAAAGGGAGAGGTGGAGAGAAAGACGGACAGGCAGAGAGAGAGAGAGAGACAGAGACGGAGAGGCAACATGACGTCGCATTCCACGGGTGGAAGTGCGGGCAGCTGGTCCTGCGCGCAAAAAAGTCCGGCCATCGTGGCACGACAAGGGGCCGCTGTGCACAGGACACGCCTGACACAAAGGAGAAATAGGGGCGGTGAGAGGGAAGAGGGGGGGGAGCGAGAGTGGAGTGTGAGAGAACGGGGAGAGAGAGCGGGAGAGAGAGAGAGAGAGAGAGAGAGCAGAGAGAGAGAGAGAGAGAGAGAGCGAGAGAGAGCAGAGAGAAACAGAGACACAGCTACGTGTATATACATACAGGGGGAGAGAGAAAGAGAGATCGACAAGACATATACTGAAAGAGAGAGAGAGAGAGGAGAGAGAGAGAGAGAGAGGGAGAGAAGCGAGAGGGAGAAATGGGGGCACGCTCACAAGACAAATGGAGGGAGAGAGATAGGCGAGAGAGAGAAGCAACAACTGCGTGCCGCACTTGCAAGCGCGCGCCTTTGCCTTTGCCTTTTGGCCTGCCGCCGCCCATGAAGTCCATGTCGTCCCCGCGGCCGCCGCCGAGAAAGTCGAAGTCGTCATCGAGGCCTCGACGGGTGGAACGGCGATCGCCCTGCTGGGCCCCCTCCTCGACGCAACCCCCGACAGCTCCCACACCCTTTCCGTCCAAACACGCGCCTCCCTCCCCATCCACCGCTCGAGCTCCTCCATGCCACCGGTGTCTGCGCCCAGACCGGCCGACCCCCCTCCCACCGGGTCGGGCGAAGCCCGAGACCGACGTCTGGTGGTACACTCATTCCTGCGACCTCACGGGCCTCACCTGCGTCTGATGGTATGAGTTCTAAGTCGGGCGGAGGCCCCTAGGACGCGCCCAGGAGGCCCCAAGAGGCCCGCAAGAGGCTCCCAAACCAGCCCCGAGAGGCCTCCAAACTGCCTCCAAGAGGCCTCCAAGAGGCCCCCTGGAGGGGGATCAGCTCAAGGAGAGGAAGGAAACAAACATAAACATAGCACTCGACGCCAGCGCTGGACCCCCCCCCTCGCTGGCGCTCGATGGCGCGCCGGGGGCGCCGCCCAGGGGCGCCGCAGCGCGGGTCCCAGAAATCAGATCTTTATATATGTCCAGTGCGTCTGGGCCTTGCGGCACGCGTTCCCGAAAAGTCCAAGACGCTCTGGATATGGATCGAAGTATTGCCCGCAGCCTTTTCCCGGGCAGGAAGAGCTATCCCGCCTCCATCGGCGACGCATGGGCGATCTAGGGTCCTTGCGTTCCCCCCCGAGCCTATCTTGCGAGGCGGGGATTTATCCACGTCCACGGCCTGGGAACCGACGTCTTTGTGCCCCAGCGGGCGGTGGATATGGATACATGTTGGCCCCCGGGGGCCCGATTATGTCCATATCCACCGCCTGCCGAGGTCCCCGAAAATTGATCCTCCAGGCGGTGGCCATGTATGAATTCCCGCCTCGGATATCCCCCCGTAGCGGTGCCCACGGTGGGCCATCCTGCACACGCGGTGACTCATGCTCTGGCTCCTCGGGTGGCCGAGGGGCCACCGCCGGCCCTAGAAGCCGAAGACATCTTCGCTCTTCGCAGCCGCCGATGCTGGATGTTGGTGCCGACCCGGAGGCGCCCGGATCGAGTGCCGCACTTACGCACCTTACGCGCAACCTTAGGTCGGGCATGTCCTCCTACCGCCAGATCTTGAAAGAAGGATCATGCATATCAGACAACACATAAAGCAATAACCAAAAGTGGCAGAAACATAGCTCCAATACTACGTTTAAGCATTTTTTTTATACTCCTCCTGGAGAGATGGACAAGCCCGACTCAAGCGCAGCAGGTGCTTGCGCAGTGAAGGCAGCCGCTGCTGCGGCCGCAGCGGCCGCCGCCGCACGGGCCATGACTAGCGGCGGCACCTGCCCTCGCGGAGGGCTCGGGAAAGGCGGGTGGTCGAGGGGCGGTGACCCTGCTCCTCCTCTCGGCTGCACGCAAGGAGCTTGCCGCCGCTCGGACGCCCATTCCCCGTGCACTGTTTGATGTCGTGCATGCTCTCTTTGCGCACGATGGTCCAAGATGCTCCAAGATGGTCCAGAGCTTTTGGCGCTGGCCTCGCAAGGAAGAGTGCACACGTACGAGCGATGCCAAGAGAAAGTCCCCTCGGCAGGAGCAGTGGGCGGGGGGGGGGCTCGAAGCACGTGCCGGGCCAAGGCGCCCATGGTATCGATGCCCCAGCTTGAACAACCTGTGGGGCACTGGCTCGCCTGTGCACCGAACATCGCTGCTGAGCTCCTTGCCTCCTTGGCCAACCCCAGAACGTGGTGTGTACACCCTGCGAAATGCTTAAGACATCATGGGTTCAGAAATTCATGGTCTCAGAAATTGAATGTAACCCAGAACTTCTATCAACACATCTTGGGATTTACATTGAAAAATTAAGAATAATCGAGACTCTGGACGAAAACGTAGGTTTTCTTAAGCATCGCCTAAGGTGTACATCGAGACCCCCCGAGCGACCGCTGGCGCGTGGCTCTCGGGAGCCGCGGGGGGGGACGGATCCGAGCGCGCAGGCCAGCGACGGGGGGACCCCCCCTGACCTTCCAGGAGGGCTAAAAAATAGCACGCGACTTAAAAACCTATCCCAGAGCTATTCTACGTCTTGGTTTTAGGCTGTTTCGTTTCGTTTTTTAGGTTTTTAGGTCTCCAGTGCTAAAAAAAAGCTCTCTGGAAGGTCAGGGCCCGTGCACCCCGCGCACGGGGCACTCTCACGCGTGGGCGATCCTCTCGGAGCCTCCTCCGCAGACCTGCGACGACGTCCCGAGTTCTTGCTGTACGGCGCCCCCGGAAGTCGAGGTCCTTTTCCCCCGGGCCGGCTTCTCATCCTGAGTCGTTTCTTGACGGTCGCGGGGCCCGGCGAGGGCCCCCGAAGGCCGAAAAGATTGAAAAACCTCCGTCCTGAATTTTTCACGACGCGATCATGTCTGGGTCCCTTCCCGCTACCTTTAAATCGGGCGTGTCCCCCTACAGGGGAACTTTGGGCGAAGAATAAAACAAATCCAAACATCCCCCCAAATGACAAACAATTGTCAAAAAATCGTCCCCGAACTATTTTTCCTATTCTCCCCCCGTAGAGGGACAGGCCCGAATTAACGCTACCTGCGGCCACGGCGGCGTCAAGGCCGCCGATGGCTGCCGAAGGCCGCCGCAGGCCACTGAAGCCTACCACCGAGGGGCCCGCCGAGGGCGGGCCAGGGGACGACGCCGAGGACCACCGAGGGCCGCCGAAGGCCGCGGCCTTGGTCGTGCGGCCCTGGCCGCCGGAGGGGGGGGAGGAGGAAGAGGAGGAGGAGGAGGAGGAGGAGGTGAGAGGTGGAGAAGGAGGCGGAGAAAGGGAGGAGGAGGAGGAGGAGGAGGAGGGAGGAGGAGGGAGGAGGAGGAGCGGAAAGCAAGAGGAGGAGGAGGAGGAAGGAGGTAGAGGAGGAGGAGGAGGAGGACGGAGGAGGAGGAGGAGGAGGAGGCAGGAGAGGTTGACGGCCATGGGCCCCCCAGGCGCGGCCCTGGCCGCGGAAAAGAGAACAGACGAGGGGAATGAAGAGGAGAGAGAGGGGGCACGACCTCCCCCCCAGCGGGGCCGCGCGGCGCCTCCCATCGCGCCGCCGACACCGACCCCGCCCAGGCCTCGGGAAAACGGAAAAAAGAAGACGGACGGTCGCTTTTGTGCCCCATATGCCGCCCTGAGGGCAGGCCGGAGAGCTCCAATCCCCGCCGCCGAAAGTCGTCAGGATGCGGGCGCAGGTCGTTCCACGGGCCCGCCGCGGCGTGCGCTTGGGAGCGGCCATGGGGGCGGGGAGGGGGCCCGGCGCACAGGCTCGAGCGCGGCGGCGGCGGGGCGGGGGTGTGTTCCTCCCCTGCCTTCCCCTTCTCCTCCTCCTCCTCTTCCTCCTCCTCCTCCTCTTCCTCCTCCTCCTCCTCCTCCTCCTCCTCCTCCTCCTCCTCCTCTTCCGTAGCCATTTTGGCTTAAGCCATTTTGGCTCAAGCCGTTCTGGCGCAGGTGAGCGCTTGCGGATTCTCTCTTCAGAACGGCAAGGAATCCGCGGGTCAATTTTGGCTTCGCAACTTTCTCGTCCATCTTTCTCCAGTCAGACTAATGTCCCATGGCCCCTGCAAGGGCGGCGGCGGCGGCGGGCAGGGCACCCCTCCCCCGTGGCGCGGCGGCGGCTCCCAGGGCTGGCAACGGCAGGACTGGAGCTACTACGACTACGGAGGCGCCCAGTGGTCTGGCGGCAAGGGCTACGGCACGGCTGGCAGGAGCGACTGCTGGAAGTGCGTGGCATGCGGATGCGGCAAGACCACCGTCTGGGCGACCCACTGCAAGCACTGCGGTGCACCGAGGCAGGCCCCTGCAGTCGGCCACCATGCTCCTCCTCGCGGTGTGTGGTCTCGTCAGCAGGGTCTGCCTCGTGCGCCTGGATATCACCCCCCTGGAGAGTGGTCTGCCCTCCCGCCTGGACCTCAGCTTGGCAGCGCAGCGCAAGGCACAGGCAGCGGCAGCCGAGGGCAGGATGTTCCTTTGGACGCAAAGGAGCTCCAGATGCTGGTTGCACTGTCGCGCCGCGCAGGTGACCAAGCCACAGCTGCCAAGTACCAGGGCCAGCTGGACTCCATGGCTGCGGCCGCAAAGCCGCCGCCAAAGGCCCTGCAGGACCAGGTCAGCGACCTGCATCACCGCATCAAGAAGCTCGACGGCAGGCTCGAGGCCGAACTGGCGAAGCTGGCGCGATGGCAGGATGGCATCAGGGCTCAGGAGATACTCATCCATGATTTGTCGAAGCAGTCTGAGGCCATGGTCACAAAACATCGGCAACTGGTTGCACAGCTACACAGTGCAGTGGTTCCTCCCTCGGCCAACTCCGAGCCCGCGCCTGGGCCCACCTTGTCACTTCGAGACCTCGTGGACGGGCGAGTATCCAACATCGTCATCGACGACGGGGGCCGTTTGTCAGTCGACGCTGACGGCATTGAGGACTCAGATCTACAGGAGGTGGAACGGCGTCGGGGAGATTTCAAGGAGCACATCGGCAAGGCAGCCAAGGCCCTCTTCGCTGAAGCGATGGAGCGTGCGGCAGTCGCCAAAGCCGAGCACGACGGGTACCTCAAGCGCATGGCCACCAAGCGCAGGAAGGGCTGCGATGGAGCCGTGTCAGCTGGAGGCGGAGTTCGTGAAGGGGGTGCTGAAGCAGCTGAGTCACATGCTGGCGGCGCCTGTGGCAGCGGCGACGCGACGGCCAGCGACGTCAGCCAGCCAGCCGCCCAAGTCAGCCGAGTTCGTGAACAGGCGGCACGCGTTGCTGAGCGAGTTCAGCAGCAGCAGGCGGCGACTGATAGCAGCGGCGCGGGCGAGCGGCACAGTGAGCAGCACAATCAGAGCCCCCCTGACGGTCAGCAGCAGGCCTGAAGGGGGGAGAGTTAACTTTTCTATGCTTGCAACACCTGACAGGTGTGACAGTTCGGTTTTTTCGGGGGGAGGTCGACAGCATTCGCAGGCTGTCAGGACCCCTCCTCCTCGTGCCCAACTTCTTCCCGTTTCGCCTCG